TTATTTCGTGATTAATATATATATATATATATATATTAATGTTAATTAAAAATAAAAATTGGTATATTTTATAATTTAATGATTTTCTATATCATATTAAAATAAAATACTATGTGAAATTAATATAAAAATATATTAAATTGGTAAAGAAAAAATATTTTATTTTAAAAAATTCTTTTATTCACTGTTAAAACATATTAATTTTTTAAAATCATGTAATATTTTTATACAAAAAATGTTGACATATATTTTTGTAATTCACAACAAATACATTATCTAAAAAAATATATTTGATATTTTTAAAAAATGACAACAATATATTATATAAAATAATTAAAATAATAAGATTATATAGTTATACAATATAACAATAAAATGTAAATGATATATCTAAAAGACTTTCTTATATTTTTATAAAATGAAAAATTACCCGCACGGATGTGCGGGTTCAAAATCTAGTATATATTGTGTTTTTATCCGGAAAATATATTTAATTAAAAAAATTCAAGAAAACACATAAATATGTATTCATAAAATAAAAAATATTAATTGTATATAATTCAAAATAGAAAATTGAAAAAAATCTATACTATTATTTCGAAGTGATATTTCGCAACGGAGCTCTCACGTTAAAAGTTAGAGTGGTTAATATCGTTTATACCCTTAATGAATAAAATATAGAAATTATAAATAAAATAAAAACGAAATTGATATTTATTTGATTAGATAAATGATTTAAATTAATAATAATAATAAGAATTATCCATAATATAAATATATATTTAAAAAGAAAAAAAGATAATTCCTATATATATTTTGTTGTTATCATTAAAATATATTTTAATAAAAAATAAAAAAATAAAACACATAAATAAATACTCATAAAGAAACTTTTTAATTGTACATAATTGAAAAGAGAAAATTGAAAAGAGAAAATTGAAAAATTTACAATACGTAATTATTTTCTAATAAAAAATATAATAATATAACATAATGATATATATATATATATATATTTGTGAAGTAATTTTTCGCCTCTGAAATCACACGTTAAATTAAAATTATTTTATATTTTATAAAGTATAACATTAAACATGAATTAATCACAATAAAATAAAAGATCATTCAAAAAGAAAAAAAAATACATTGTTGACAAAATAAATTCAAATATATTGTATTATTATTCAAACTAATATTATTCTTTCTGTAAGATCAATTTTTGAATATATATTTATTGATTCAATTTATCAAATTAAAAGATAAGTTTCTCTATTTTTTATCAACTGAGAAGGAATTAAACAGATTTTAGATTTTGTTTTCAAAGTTTTAAAGGGAAAAATAGATTTTTTAAATTTATGAATAATTTTATCATGTAAAAACGTTTAATGTTCTATGTCTAATTTTTGGATGAATATAATCATTTATTTTGATGATATTTTAAATTGTCTTAAAAATAATTAAACACCTAGTATAATATTGATTTTTTGCAACGGAGCTCTCACGTTAAAAGTTAGAGTGGTTATTGGTTAATATCGTTTATACCCTTAATGAAGAAAATATATAAATCTGACAAAAATAAAAATGAATTTGATACTTATTTGAGAAGATAAATAATTTAAATTAATAATAATGATAAGAATTATCCATAATCTAAATATATATTTAAAAGAAAAAGATAATTCTTATATATATTGTGTTGTTATCAGGAAAATATATTTAATTCAAAAAATTCAAAAAAACACATAAATAAGTATTCATAAAATAAAAAATTTTAATTGTATATAATTCAAAAGAAAAAATTGAAAAAAATATAATATGAAATTATTTATTAAAATAATATAATAATATAATATAATATAATGATATATTTATATATTTTTGAAGTTATTTTTCTGAACTCACACATTAAATTAAATTTATATTTATATTTTATATAGTTAAACCTTAAATATGAATTAATCATATAAAATAAAAGAAATTAAAAAAAAATACGTGTTTGATAAAAGTAAATTCAAATATATTGTATTATTATTAAAACTAATATTATTCTTTTTGTACAATTAATTTTTGAATGCATATTTATCGATTCAAATTTTCAAATGGAAAATAGATTTCTATATTTTTTATCAATTAAAAAGAAATGAAATAGACTTTAGATTTTTTAAAGTTTTAAAGGAAAAATAGTTTTTTTTTTTAATTTGTGAATAACTTTATCATGTAGAAAAGTTTAATGTTTTCGGTCAAATTTTTTTGGATGCAAATAATTATTTATTTTGATGATTTTTAAATTGATTAAAAGATAATTAAGCCCGCATATGCAGGCAAAACACCTAGTAATAGTAATAATACAAGAAATTTGAAATCACATTGGTTTAAACTAAGCCTGTTCAATCTGGTGTTCGGTTCGGTTTTCTTCGGTTATTCGGTTTATAAAAATTAGCTACCATATTGGAACCATATTTAATTTGGTTTGGTTCGGTATTTATACTACCGATTTTCGGTTTTATACCAAATAACATTATTATTTGATTTGGTTTCATATTATATGAATTTTTTTAAAAAAACATATTGTCAAAACTATCATTTATTAAAATAATCATAGGTTTTCATAAATATAAAAATGTGAAATTAACAACAAACAAAACGATCAACGATTCAGTTTTGTATAGCTTTTTTTATTTTCTCTTTGTTCTTCCAAATAAATTACATGGTACAATCTAATTTCACATTTTCTTACAACATGTAAAATCAAATCAAATTTAGATAATAGTTGAAGAAAATAAAATAAAATTATTAAGATATATCTTCACAAGGTATAAAAAAATAAAAATAAAAAGACTATTCCAAGAAAATAAATGGTTATATAATGTATATATTTATATATTTTTTCTTTGATCGATTTTGTTCGGTTTAATCGGTTATAAACATAACCATATCCAAATCCTACGGTTTTTATAAAATCATATCCATTCGGTTTATATGGTATATACCAAATCCAAACCATATTGTCTATTTTGGTTCGGTACGGTTCGGTACGGTTCGGTATCACCATATTGAACAGCCGTTAAACTCCAATATAACTGAGATGTACGAATAATCTGCAAACTAAACCAAAGAGCAAAATCTTGATAAAAGAGAAAATAAACCAGGAAGATTATGCTGACTTCTTATTGTCTCTTTTGAATAATGTTTTTCGTGATTACAATTTTATCACTCAGCAGCTTATTAATTAAAATGATCCAGATACTCATATCAGAAAAAATCATTTTAATGTTTTTTTATTGCTAATATCATTTTAATGTTATTTGCGATAGATTTATTTAAGACTTTAAAAAAGTCCATAAAACTTTCAATAACTAAAAATCGTGTAAAAAAACTAAAAAAACATGTTGATCCTCTGCTTGCTTCAGACTGTCCTTCTTGGCTTGTGGAGGTATTTGAGGATGATAAAAGTTTATCCTCTGCTTGCTTAATCTATTCTTTTGTTGTCGTTCAAGGTCCAGGTAATTAGTATTTTTTTGATATCACGCTGGCTTAGTTGGCTTAGTTCAATGGGCTGTTAAAGGAACGGTTATGTAACCATGCATGTCATTGTGAACACTTGTGATTCAGGTATGGCATATATCACATTTTGATGGAAAGAAAAGACTTACAAGGTCACATAGTTTTCTGATACTAAGATCATATAAATCCAGACATATAAACTGTACGTACTACGTAGTGTTTCCGTTTCCGACCAATTTTATCGTTTGGTCGAAAGATTAGCCCACTGTGAAATAACGTAATTGAAAACGTGTTGAAGTTACAAATTCATATGTATGACAAAAGGCAAAATGGAAAAAAAAAAGAAGGTAAAATGGAATGAAATTCAAATATGTTGACAGAAAAAAATGGAATGAAATCTCAAAGGGACTGAGCAGCATGCAGCCGTACACTCGTCATGGCGGAGGAATATGATGAAAACACGGCTCCTCGCGTCCGACACATCTCTCACGTCTGTTTCAGAGAAATCTGTTTTGTTTCGCAACGTCTTTTAACTCGTTTGTCTCTTATAGTTACCATTCTTATTACTTTTTATCATTTCTCCAATTCGAGTGTATGACCGTTGTATTACGATCTAATCATAACATATGGTCTAGAATCAAACTTACAATTTTACTGCATATGTGTCTTTTGTCTAACAATATTATTAGAAATATTTGTTTGTTACTAACATTGTAAAACTAACAGCTTAACCAAGTTGCACCAGTTCGTTTCAAACGTAATTGCTATAGTGATGTGTTAATGTTAAAAAAAAAAACTGTTACTGTTAATTTGAGCATCCGCAACCGTGAGACTAATAAGAATCATTAAGATAAATGTATTTCGAATTTGATAAGGATATTTCGGATTTTTTTTTAAGAAAAGAAAAAAAAGATGACTATTCATAGGCTGCCACGTGTCCTGTGGATCCGCAAATAGTGTAAGGATTCATTAAGAAACAGTCATTATTTAGAGATTTTAAAGATTTAATCCTTAACTTTTTGTGAGGACTATCGATTATTTAATTTTTTTTTCTTTAAGAATCCCCCTAGGTACTCCCATGCTCTTATATTGATAAAATGTAAAGCATGATATTTATTTATAACTTGACAAACAAATCAGTATATATATATACAAGAAATAAAGATTTTGTCCTATTACATATGCCTATCTCAAAGCTGATGTGTACGAGACATGCAGTTCAATAAGCCATGCAAATTGAAATGTGTCAACTCCCTTCATTAATATATGTTTTTCTTTCACTGTGAAGCCAATTAAATTTTCAGAAGAAGACGCAAGGATAGCAGCTCAATTGAAGGGTAGACTGTACATAGTCGACTCTATATACCGGGTTCTTATCTCAATCAATTTATCCTGAAAACCTTATCAACATTTATACAAATAAGTTCACTATAAATAGCTTCGTGTCTAACGCAGCTGTAAGATCAGAAAAATCACAACAAATAAGTAAAAAGAAAATGACTCGGCTCTTATCTCTTCTCTCTTTTTCCTTAGCACTTTTGATCTTTCTCCATGGCTCTACAGCTCAACAGTTTCCAAACGAGTGCCAGCTAGACCAGCTCAATGCCCTCGAGCCGTCACACGTACTTAAGTCCGAGGCTGGTCGCATCGAGGTGTGGGACCACCACGCTCCTCAGCTACGTTGTTCTGGTGTCTCCTTCGTACGTTACATCATCGAGTCTAAGGGTCTCTACTTGCCCTCTTTCTTTAACACCGCGAAGCTCTCCTTCGTGGCTAAAGGTACGTGAATCTGATTTTGTTTTCTTTTTTCCCGGATCGAGACTATCTGAGTATCGAGATTTATACTCGTGATCTTTAAGGTTGATCAGTCTTTTGAGAAAAAAAGTTGTAGTACATCACTAAAACACGTGCTCAAGTTTTGATCAAATATATTATAAATATTTTTTTGTTTGGAGTTTAATATATAATCTAAATATATGGGTGGATGTTTATATAGACCTACCTGCGCATCTAAACTTTGGTTTTGGTTTATTACATTATAGGCAAAGGTCTTATGGGGAGAGTGGTCCCTGGATGCGCCGAAACATTCCAGGACTCATCAGTGTTTCAACCAGGCGGTGGCAGCCCCTTCGAAGAAAGTCAGGGTCAGGGACAACAAGGTCAACAAGGTCAGCAGGGACAACAGGGCCATCAGAGACAAATGGGCCATGGCTTCCGTGATATGCACCAGAAAGTGGAGCACATAAGGACCGGCGACACCATTGCTACACATCCCGGTGTAGCCCAATGGTTCTATAACGATGGAAACCAACCCCTTGTCATCGTTTCCGTCCTTGATTTAGCTAGCCACCAGAACCAGCTAGACCGCAACCCAAGGGTATATAATATACATAAACGAAAACCTCAAAATCAATCATATAACTTTTTTAGATAATCACATTATAAACCAAAAAAATATGCAGCGCAAGGTGCACCGATAACCTTGATGACCCGTCTAATGCTGACGTGTACAAGCCACACCTGGGTTACATCAGCACTCTGAACAGCTACGATCTCCCCATCCTTCGCGTCCTTCGTCTCTCAGCCCTCCGTGGATCTATCCGTCAAGTAAGTACATCCTAAAATATTTCTTTATTCAAACTAACGTATACGTACGCATTATGTCGTATTTATTCTATAACCGAAAACGTTACCAGTTTGGTTCGATTTGGCTTAATATAAAACTTCGATTGGATGGTTTGTTTGGTACTAAACAAACAAGGTAAGGTGGTGTATTAGTTCATGCATTTTAATTGACTTGTTAATCTATTATATACTTACAAATCCAAGTAAAAATTACCGATTTTAAAACTTAATATGTAGATTTTAATTATTATTTACAAATCGAAAGTTTTCTCTCAGGTTTATATCTTTGTATTTTTAATAAGAAAATCCATTTTTCAAATCTCAGTGGTAAACACATGATTTTGATTTGAATTTCAAAATCATAGAACTAATAACAATTGATTAATTGGGATTTTCAAATCCATTAGAAAAAAAAAAACCAATAACTTCCACGAATTCTACCTACCCACAAATGGAACATTTTGGTTAGTTTATGTTTCCGGTTCGCTATAATATGTCAATTTTCTACTTTTAAACAGAAAACATGACTATTGAAACATGTATTGGATGTAGAACACAATGGTGCTTCCCCAGTGGAACGCAAACGCAAACGCGGTTCTCTACGTGACAGACGGGGAAGCCCAAGTGCAGGTAGTAAACGACAACGGTGACAGAGTGTTCGACGGACAAGTCTCTCAGGGACAGCTACTTGCCATACCACAAGGTTTCTCCGTGGTGAAACGCGCAACAAGCGATCAGTTCCGGTGGATCGAGTTCAAGACAAACGCAAACGCACAGATCAACACACTTGCTGGACGAACCTCGGTCATGAGAGGTTTACCACTAGAGGTCATATCCAATGGGTACCAGATCTCACTCGAAGAAGCAAGAAGGGTCAAGTTCAACACGCTCGAGACCACTTTGACACACAGCAGTGGCCCAGCTAGCTATGGAAGGCCAAGGAAGGCTGATGCTTGAGAACTTAGAATGACCACTGCGCCTCTACTGTAAAAGGACGTTAAATAATAGTAATAGTAATAATAATAATGTATGAAAATGTGACTAGTTTTGTAGAGGTTTACCTGTAAAATGCGACTTCTGTTCTGAATAAAATCTCACTCTTTTCTATCTAAGACTAAGTTGTCTAGCTAATCTGTCAACCTCATTCACCACTGCTCAGTTAACATACACATATACGAGAATGCAGACCTTTACGAGGACAGAGTGACAATATCTTTCAAATATGATGCGACACCAAGATCATTTTTGACGGTCTTTGGAGATTGTTCGGCTTCATCTACTTACGTTAGAGACATTGAGACAAAATGGCAGATACATTAAGACAACATGGACTCCTTTTCATGTACAACTCACAATTACGTAGAGTTTGGTTTTACCAGAAATCGCCACAAGAACAAGAACCATCCACGAAATGATGGAACCTATTCCGATCTCTCATGACAATTTTCCTCCCTGTGATCTTCGATATCAGTTTCGTCACCGTATGACAATCCGAACACACTCGCAGGTTCTTGAATATCCTCAAGGGGCTTCCTGGTTTGGTACTGATCAGACCATACGCAATGGCTAGCCTCTCACTGTGTACTTCTAGAGACTCCTCTTTCTCTGACTTCTCGAGATCTTGCAAGACCACGTTTGTATCTGGCACGTAACCACTAGACTTGATCCACTCGCTCATCTTTCTCACCATTGTGTAAATCTCCTCGCTTTGCAAATGATTTCCATCTCCAGCTCTAAATTCATGAACTCTACCATCGATTTCTATCGTGCTTACTCCTGGCTCTTTCACTATCGTTTTCTCCTTCATCAAACTCCTCACTTTCGCCACCCCTTCGTAATCACCCACCGATGCATATATATTCGAAAGAAGAACATAAGTTCCTGAGTTTGTGATGTTCCTTCCAATGAGATACTCTGCAATTTCTTTCCCTAGCCCAAAATCTCCATGAAGTTTACAGCTTCCAAGAAGAGAACTCCATATAACAGAATCGGCCTCGATTTCCATGTTCTTTATGATCTCATAAGCCTGCTTTAACCTACCAGCGCGACCAAGGAGACTGACCAAACATCCGTAATGTTCAATCTTGGGTTTAATACCATACACTTGTCCCATTGACTCAAACATTCTTACACCTTCCTCTACCAAACCAGCATGAGCACAAGCCTGTAGTGTTCCAATGAAAGTTATATCCGTTGGCTGCAACCCTACGGTTCCCTGCATCTCATCAAACAATCTCAACGCCTCTTGACTATACCCGTGCATCGCGTAGCCAGCAATCATCGCGTTCCACGCCACGATATCCTTCCTCGTAGTATCATTAAACACTGAAACAGCCTCTTCCAAGCTCCCACATTTGCTATACATATCAATCAAAGCCGTGCACACTTTAACATTAACCCTTATGCCACTTCTCTCGATCAAAACATGAATCCAACGCCCCGATTCAAGCGCGCCGATCTGCGAACAAGCCGAGAGAGTAGCCACGGCCGTTATCTCATCAGGTTTTGGCTTTCCTTCGGCCAACAGTTCCCGGAAAAGCATCAGAGCTTCACTGGGAAACCCGTGTTGACCGTATGCATCAATCATCACGTTCCAAGAAACAATGTCTCTATCACTGTCAAGCATGCTTTCGAACAAAGCCCTCGCAGCTTCAACGTCTCCTTGCTTCGCGTAGCAGGTGAGCATAGCAGTGCAAGAAACAATGCTTCTTCTCTCAGGCATTCTATCGAACACCTTCCGCGCAGATACCAAATCTCCTCCTAACGCGTAAACATCGACGAGACCAGTCGCCACGTAAGGATCTAACCCCAATCCGAACTTGATGACATGTGTATGGATCAGTTTTACAGACCGAGCTGAGCATGATTTCAAAATCGACGAGAGAGTAAACTCGTTAGGGACAATTCGGGAAGATAACAATTGAAGATAGAGACGGAAAGCTTGGTCACGGAGACCGTTAGTGGAGGCAGTGTTGATCGCTGCGGTGAACAGGAACAAGTCAGGATCGATCGTAGTGTGTAACAGAGACAACGAGTGGCGGATTTTGTCGTGGGAAGCGTATGCGCGGTGGAGCTTGAGGTTTAAGACAGGGTGGTAAGGATGGAGGTAGAGGTTATGACGGAGGATAGCCGCGTGGATTTGCTGCACCAAGTCCACTGATTCTGATCTGTCGAGGAGAATTGCGAGTTTCTCGGGCGGCGGGAGGCGGAATCCACCGGCGGGTGAGGAAGTTGTAAGCTGTTTTTGCGGAAGTGACGTGGCGAGAATTGGTGACGAGGCGGGCATTATCTTTTGGTTGTTGATATTCCAAACATTATCATCGGTCGTCTATAATTCTAACGGCTTATCAACCGCCTTGGAGGATAGATCCTATCATTATAGAAGCAGTGATACTGTAAAATTTATGTGGTAAAAAATGGTAAGTTTCTAGTAAAAATAAGAGTTATATCATCTTATTAAAACTTACTACTAGTGATCTTTTAGATGTATACGTTGCAGTATAGTTTTTAACAAGAAATTTGTAAATATAAAAATTTGAAATAATAAAATATTTAGTAAAACAAAAAACATAAATAATTTAAAAATCAATAAATAGTAATAAGATAAATAATTTTATCTTAAATATGTATATTTTTTTATAAAAAAAACAGTATATATTATTTTCAAAAGTTATAATGAATAATAATACTATTTATTATAATATCAAGAAAAAATAAATGAAATATAATAGCACAAATGAATTTAAAAACTCTAATAGTAAATTTTCTTGTTATAAATGTTCATTCCATCGTTTGAATTAACAAGAACAAGAAAAATTATAAATTATTTTACTAATACAAAATAAGACTAAAGAATAATTTCAAACAACAATAAAATTAGATATTCGAGTCTAGACGTTAAGCCGTCACCGAAACAACTTCCTTCTTAGATGGTTGATCTGGAGAACGCCACCTACCTGAGACGCGCCATCGAAGGAGAAATGGAGGTCGAAGATGCGAGGCAACATCTACTTCGTGGTATCTCCTCTTCGTCGTGGAGAAGAAGACGCTGGAGCGCCTGAAGAACTCTTGATCTTGCTTATGTTAAATATTTCACTATCTGTCGGAATGTTTTCTCTTCTATCTTTCTCAAAACTCTTGAAACTTATTATTTAAGTTGTTGTGTTGTTGGAAAAAATTTTTTTATAAAAAAAGCAATAAAATTAGATGTTGCTATAGTTGTGAAATTAGAACCACAAATAATATTATAAAATCAACAAAACAAAAGTAATCACAACAAGTTTTTTTTGTTTTTTTTTAAATTTAAAAGTAATTTTATGTTCGTGTCATATAAATCATTATTATAATTGTGCTCTTTATGTTTTTTAAATGTATGATGTTTTATAGAATATTTTTTTCAAACTAAATGACATTTTCAGTTTTAGTGTAACTTTATACTTACTAAGACTATATTATATTATAAATTTTTTTTTCTATTAGTTAAATAGTGATTAGTTAGATAATGATAGTTAGGCATCAAAATTGATAGTAGGATTTCTCAACAAAATTAATAATTAAATTGAGAGAATATGTAAAAAGGTCGACAAATGATCAATTCCTAAAGAAACCATCAAAAAAAATTGAGAGAATATTTAGCCATTTGCTTTTCTTTGATTGGTACACACATTTTTAAATATTCAATTCTATTACAATTAAAATATGAATATAATAATTTAAAGAAACCAATGTTAAGATATTTATGCAAAGTCCCTTTTATATGATATATCATAGGTGAATTATAGTTGTTTAAATTTTAGAAGAAAAATGGAAAGAAAGTGATTTGAAGAAATACAATGAAAATGAGAAAAAGAAATGGAACAGAATTTTTTGAAATACTCTTTTGAAAAGAGAAAAAGAAATGGAAAATATGAGCAAAATATAAGTAAAAATAAGTGAAAAGTGATAACAAATGTTTAAGGCTTAAAAACCAAAACTAGTTATTTACAAGTAATATCTAGACCAAATAAATGACTAGAAGGAAAAGAGCTAAAAAAAAAATTAAATTATAACACAGTGCCATGTAAAGATTTATAAATTCTCGAGTTGAGTTTTTTTTTGTTTTTTCAATTACATTGTTTTGTAGTTATTATACTAACTAGATATATTTCCCGGGCTACGCCCGAGTTGTTCTCCATATATGTTAGTTAAATTTATATTACATTAGAATTTATATCTGAATATAAATATATTTGGTATAATCTATTATAAAATTATTTTTATTACTTTTTGTTAAAATGAAAAGATTTGCATTGATATAGAGAATATTCTATGTTTTCTATGATATGCCTAAGTAAAAAAAGTAGAATAAATACTTTTCAGCTAAATTATTCCATTTTTAGGCAATCAACTGTAAAATAATTTAGCTTATTTATTCCAAAAAGAATAATTAGAGTAAGACTTTCTCTATTTAAAAAAGAAAATTTACTTGATTTTATTTTTACTTTATCTCCATTTTTATATTTTTCTTTCAATTTATTTTCTCCAAATTATATCATTTAAATTGTCTTAACTTAACTTTATTTGACAGTAAAATCACTCTTGTTTTGACTTTCTCCACCTCCTAACTTGTTATACTCATATTAAATACTCGGTATTATAAAGATGAATAGTTGTTGATCAAGTGATGAGACCTCATCGCCATATTCTTCTTCTTCTTTATAAGAAATCAATGGGACTGTGCAGCTGTCATAGTTGGATATATTCAATGGAAGGTTGAGTGTCAATAAGAGAGTTCAATATCAGTCGCATAAGATTGTATCTCCATATGTATATTGATCTCATCTATAACTGAAATCTGATGCTATATCATGATGGCTGAAGCCTGATGCCACAAAAAAAATACTATACCATGGTGAAAAAAAAAACTTTTTGAAATCATATATAAGAAGGTTGTTTATTTTTGTATAATATCTTTGTGGGTGATGTTTGTGTTTGATGTTTTATGTATAAATGTATTACTAGGTGATTTTCCCGTGCTCATGCACGGGTATGAATATTCATAAAAGTAAAATTTTATAATAATTGATTGGTATTTAGTTTTGAATCAATTAATATGTATAATTTATATTAATAAGTATTATATTATTCTAATTATACATTTGGATATATTATCTTTGGTGTAATTATTTTTCGGATCAATAGTTTGTTTGGTTATCAATTTGGTATATTGGATAATATCTATTTTTCAAATTCAGCTATAATATCTTTTATTCTAAATATAATAAAACTTTGATTAATTTTCTTTATTTTCATTTCGGTTGGTTATTGTCTTTAGATATGTAACTATATTCTTAGATATGTAAATATATGATAGTTAAATTGTGTATAACTTAATATATATTGTGCTTAAATGAAATAAATAATTGATTGGTATTTAGTTTTAGTTTTAATCAATTTATATGTATAATTTATATTAATAAATATTATATTATTCTAATTATACATATGACTTTGGATATATTATTACCGGTTTAATTATTTTTTTTATCAATAGTCGGTTTGGTTACCAATTTGGTATATTAGATAATATTTTTTTTTGAATTCAGCTATAATATTTTTTATTCTAAATATAATAAAATTTTGATTAATTTTCTTATTTTCATTTCGGATGGTTATTGTCTTTATATATGTAAAAATATACTTAGAAATGTAAATATATTATAGTTAAATTATATATAACTTAATATATATATATATATATATATATATATGTATATATGTATATATATTGTGCTTAAAATGAAATAAATAATAAGCTGAAGTGTTTAATTCAAAATTACATAAATGAATATAATGATAATATTTTGAAGTCGCATTCATATATATAAATTCTAAAAAGAATTAAATTGTAATTGGTTAATATATATATATTTTTTTTAATATGCTTTGGGTCAACCTCTAATTTATATGTATAAAAATAAATAGATTATTAATATTATTATTATAAAATTATATGTTCTTATTGTAGTTAGTTGATTAATTTTGAATATAAATTAGATTAGCCGAGTCATTCATTTTGTGAGTATATTAAATATAATATATTTGTAAACTAAAATTGAAGAATAATTACTTTTTATTTTAGTTAAGTCAAATCAATTTAGTTTTATTTATCGCTTAAATATACATGTATTTTCATAATATTTATTTACTATTTATTTTAGTTAAGTCAAATCAAATTAGTTTTAGTTATCGCTTAAATATACATGTATTTTCATAATATTTATCAAATTATATGTTGATTTCTAAAAAATATTAGAAAATAAAGTGCAACTGATAAGTTTTTGGATTTTCATGAACATATATATTTTTATTATTTTGAGAATATATTTTATGTTATTTTAAAATATATATTAATGAGGTATTGCTATTTTGTGAACTTTCCGTTTTAATAAAGTTATATTATATAAATATATTTTCGTTTTTAAAAATTGTTTTAAAATTTTAGAAATATTTCTTTTTTATTGTATATGTTATTTGGTAAAAGGTAAAAAGAAAACTAAATAAAAAATAATAATCTTAAAATCTAACAAATCATTAAGGGTATCTATGTAATCAACCATCATGAGAGTTAACGTGAGCGCGACACGTAGAAAACTGACTTCTCAAATAATATTATAGAGATTCCATCACGTAATTGTATATATGGTGTAAATTGGGTAAGAGGATTTGTATTTCCATGTGAGGTTGGTGGTTGTGTATTGACTTGGCATTTGAGCTAAATGGTTTATTTGTATTTAGGATTTTTGTGTGGGGAGTTTGAGATTATATTTAAAGTTCATATTTTCTGTGATTCTTTTTTTTATAACACTGTTTAATAAAAAAAAATGGTGATTGGGTGATTTTTTGTGTTTGTGATAAAAAAATGTAATTTTCTCGGCAGCTTGTGAAATTTTTATGGTGAAACTATCAAATGAAGTTGTAATAATTAAATTAATACTTACGGAACTTGTAATTCAGCATTTCTTCACCAATAGTGTAAATTTTTTTGGTGGTAATTTGGATTTTTATTCATATCATTTAAAGCTATTTTTAAGTTATTTGGTCCGAGTTTGAAAAGTTGACATTTTATATTTTAAACCACTTAATTCTTGATTTTCATCTATAGTTGTGGGCCGTGAAATGTGTGAGATTAGTAGGACTATGCAAGTCTGAAGAGGGAGATATGCTTCTTGTAATTGTGTGGTTGGATATACAGTGGGAAAAAAATCGAAGAGAATAGTGCAATTTGATGTAGTATCAAAAGAGAAGAACAG